ACAAGGGGGCCCAAGGTTATAAACACTTTAAGGGCGATGACATTTTGTCAATTTGCTTTCCTAAAGCGTGGCCACCAGCATTCTCTTCCCCTTGCTGGTAGGCATATTTTCCTTCCTTCTTTCCTTCCTTCCTTCCTAGCCAGTGCTAGCTTGTTTTAAATTGCAGCTATTAAAATAGAGACAGACTCATAGATAGAGAGCAGGATGACAGCTATGGGGTGGTTAGGGGGTGAAGGGTTTGAGCAAAAAGGAAAAAGGACTCACAGACATGGGCAACAGTGTGGTGACTATAGTGGAGGGAGGGGGGAAAAGGGGGGTAAATGGTAATGGAAAAATACAATAAATTAAAAAAGGGCACCTATTTAATTATTGCTGAGATGCAACATTTCTTCCATACATTTTAGTTCCTCTTTCACCATTTAGTAGTTTTTTTCATCAACTTATAAGAGGGCTCTATAATGAAGAATTTACCTCAGGATTATTGTACGTGCTGCTACTACGTGCTTCTAGGGGGAACTTCCTAAATCTTCTCCCCTCGGCACAGTGGAGTCATGGACCCCTCAGAATGACCTCTGGGCTGACTCATTTTCCAAAGCTATTGGCTTCCCAAAGCCACTCATTCCAGCACCAGCCAGACTGAAGCTCCGGACGCTGACTGCCATCCCCCACATGTCCCTGAGGTCACCATTTTTCAGCTAAACCCAGAGACAAGAAACATATCCACATCTGTTCTCTGGTAATCAGGCACTGCTGCTATCTGCCAGGCACTATCTACACAAACTGGAGTCGAGTCGCCACTCTAAACCCCCAACCTCTTTTGAAATGTTTTTATGTATGAGATTAGAACCTTTTAAGCTATCTTTCCTCCTAGAAAAGGACCCAAGAGGGGAGAAAATACACAGCAAAATATGTATCACCTAAAACAAATTTTGATTAAGCACCTATACTGCTGCTACATTAAAATTGCCCCAATTTTACCATAATTTTTAAAATTGTCCCAGAAAGTTACTTTAAGGATATGAGAGTTGAATTCTCAGTACTTGGACTTCCAACCCAGCCAAGTTTTGCTTCAGGGGCATATCTTAGGGCCCAGAGTGTGACCCATGGAACCACAAGGTCAACATTGTCTGGGGATTTGTTAGACATGGAGACCTCATCCCAGATCTATGACATCAGTCTGCAGTTGAACAAGATCCCCAGATAATATGAAGGCATGTTAAATTTGAGAAGGACTCTCTTAAAGCATTGGTAGGTATCAACTCTGGCTTACACATCTCCTGAGGAGCTTGGACACAATATGCCCAGGCCCCGCCCCCAAAGACTCTGGTTCCTGTTGTTCAGAAGGGAAACTGGGCTCTGGAATCGTTTAGAAGCTCTCCAGTGATTCTGTGTGCAGCCAAAGATGACAAGTGACTTACAAAGTTTCTAATACTTCCTTGTAACAAGACAGTTGGTAAAGGTCTAAAATTTTAGCTCTTCAAATTCCATGCTTTTTGTAAAGAAATCTTTTATTTATTTATTTTTAGAGAGAGGGGAAAGTAGGGAATAAGAGAGGGACAGAAATATCGATGTGCAAGAGATACATTGATCAATTGCCTCTTGCATGCCCCCAACTGGGGACCAGGCCCGCAAACCAGGCCTGCGCCCTGACTGGGAATCGAACTGCTGACCTTTTGGCTTGTAGGCCGGCACTCAAACCAATGAGCCACACCAGCCAGGGAAAATTCCATGCTTTTAACTATTATATATCATTATTAAATTAAAAAACCAGTTAGCTCCTGGAGGACAGGGATACATTAAAAAAAAATTTTTTTTTGGACATGATGTTGGCCAGTTTCAAGAACAACTAGATATCTCAGGGTAAGAGACACAACAACTAGAACACACAAAAAGCAATGAGGACCTGCCCTTAAATGCATCTTAATATTGGCAATCCCACCTTTGCTCACATTCTCGTTCCCCTGAATGGGTTATGCAGCAGCACGCTACAATGGCCCAATTCTGTGGTTATATGAAGGCCAAAACAGCCAGACTGGCCCCGCCACCACCCTGTGCCTTTAAGCTACTATAAATATAGAGTTCTAAGCTTATCTCCTTGGGCTTTCTGAGTCATTTCCTAACGTGAAGGACACACAGACAGTGGGTTGTAATGTACTGTGTTATCTGAATTCCAAGATGTTGCTGAATCTGACCTCTGGTTTTTCTGTTTCCAGAAAAGCAGCTCGCAGTCACAGCAGTCCCCATGACAAGAAGCGTGGAGCTTGACGTTCACTTTATTTGATGGCACCATGGGTGGTTGACGGCAGCTGGATGGAACCTGGCCTGACCCAAAGCTTTCTGACCTCGAGGCCACACCAGACTGGCTCCCTGGAATCAGTTTCTATTGCTCCAAGTGCCTGACCCTCCTCAACTGTGGGGCTGAGAGAAACCCAAGGTGGTGCCTACAGCTGTGAGTTAACTGTTGACCCCTTTTGTGTTTTATATTTTTATTTTTTGTTCTTTTAATTCTCACCCAAAGATATGTTTATTGATTTGTGAGAGAGAGTGCGTGGGAGGGAGAGCGTCCACAAGAGAGAGTGCACGTGAGCGCACGCGAGTGCGTGCACATGTGCAATATCGACGTAAGAAACATCAATCAGTTGCTTCCCATAGGCACCCCAGCTGGGGATCGAACCCACAAGCTAGGTACATACCCTGACTGGGAATTGAACTCACAACCGTTTGGTGTATTGGATGAGGCTTCAACCAACTGAGATACCTGGCCAGGGCCCTTTTTTCTTTATAAATTATGAACAGTTTCTGTGTCTTCTTGAAGGTGATAAAGTTGGGAAATCTCACAGAAGAGCAGGCTTCTCAAAGATTTTTAGCTCAGGACACCTAATACACTTAAAAAATTATCTAAAACCCCCGAAAGTTTTCAGGTGTGTAGGTTATATCCAGTGGTGTGCTGGAGTCAGTTGTACCAGCTCACAACAATTAAGGACATTTTCAAGCCAACTTTAAACCATTGGAAGCTTGAAATTGGCAATCGGGGGAGTATATACACCATGGAAATTGGCAAATGCTACAAATTAGGAGTTTTTTCTTTTTCTGGAGATGCAGTTTAATAGCAAACCATTGATTGTATCTACCAATAGTTACCATATTAAACATTAAAGTACTTTTGAAAATACTTTTTACTTAAAAACAATAAACGCTTTATATGTTAATATAAACATATTTTCTGCAAAAGTATTGTTTTCCCAAAACAATGGTTTAATGAGGAGAGTTGCACTGTTTTATATTTTTGCAAATCTCTTTATGGCTGGCTGGACAGATTTTCATATCTGCTTCATTATTCAATCTGTTATACTATCACATATCATGTTGCCTCTGGAAAACTCAACAGTACACTTGTGTGAGAATCAGGTCAAAAAGGGGCAAATAATACCATCCTATTTTAAGATAGTTTTGATCTTATACACGTCCTGAAAGGGTCTCAAGGACTTTGACAATCACTGCATTGGAATGTTTCTCTTTGCTCAGATTGTTCCTTACTTAGTTGCACCTTACTCATAAAACACAATTTGGTTTATGCCTAGGTCTAGAAAGTTTGAAAGGAATAGCTACACAGCTCTGCAAATTCTGCCAGGAACTTACTCTTGGCAACTGTTTCCCCCCTTAATTTTGACTCTCATATCCAGGCAAAGGGAAGCTGCTAGTGGAGGGACCAGGCCTCAGAAAATTAAAAAGCTTAGTTACAACCTTAATTTTTTTCCAGTTGCTCTAGAAACTCAGCCTTCCTGAAAGACATGCCAATGTTTTTCTTAATTTCTTAAATTCAGAAGCATAACCTAAAATTTTCCACTTGTATATTTAACCACCAAGTATTCCATTTCCTTAAAAATCCTACTTCTGACTTGGTGGGAAAAACATTTTTGTGTTAAGAAAACCCAAGCGTACTTTCTGAATTCAAACATATTTTGAAAAATAATAGAAGAGTTGAAAGTCGACTTTTTGGTTAGAGTGGGGGTCCTATTTCCAAGGAGGCTGGGCTGACTTCATTCACTGTATCCCTTGAAGCAGGAGTTGAGTCCAGGCCACAGAAACCTACACTTGTGTGTTAACTTAAAAATTCTATGTTAACAGAATTCTTATTTAGTTGAAACCATTTCCCTGTTGACTATGAATCTAGAAATACGTTACCAGAACTTTTTACTGTTTTTTATCTATCATTTTGCTTTACATTTCCCCTTCTCCCCTCTACCACAGACAGTGTCAGATGGCAAAGGACTATCACTCAAGGGTAGCTCTTCCTTGGGTTTCACTGTATTGTCTTGGCTCTGACATTTAATGTGTTGCTCTCGAGGAAGGAATTGCATTCTTTCCTCTGTGCCTGCAACCTAAAAATCTGACCACATTCTCAATGATATAACCTTGAATTTTCCTAAGAAGGGTATACAGTAAAAAGATTTGGAGAGCTAATCACGCACCCCCATCCCTCCTCCATGCTCCCAACAGACACCAGGTCCTCTGGACCTCTGGGTTTGGGTTACGATCAGGAGGAATGGGAGGCACCGGTGACAACTCAGAATGGGGGGCAGCATATTCCCTCTTCTACCCCTTTGGTCCTGGGGTGGTAACAGCTTCTCTAATTGCTAGTCCCTGAGGTGCTTTACTACCCACTATTGGTTATCTTAACCCTGTCCACACCTCTGCAAATCACCTCTTCATTAAACGCTCTTCAACTAAACCTTTAGACAGGCCTTCCTGCCAGGGCCCTGAAAGATACACAAAAAATTTGTTCCAAACAGGTACCAAGCAAACTTTCATGTTTATTACTATAGGTTACACACATTTAAAAAAAAGAGATAATATAAAAAGTGACATAATATTTTATAAGTACAGACTGACAATACAGGAATAATGGTCATATTAAGTCAGAGGTATTTTAACATATATATATATATACACACACACACACACACACACACACAGATTGAATAAACGATGACATAAATCTCCTCTGAGCTGGATAAAATGAATATAGCAATTAGTAAAAATCAATGTTAGTGTCCACTTATAAAACACACTTTAATGTCAATATTTTCGGGCATTTGGAAATAGTTTCCTCTTTTAAATAGGCAAGCACCTGCCTTGGAACTTTCCTTTGTTGTTGTTTATGATGCTTTTTTTTAATATGGAAAAAAGATGCATTGCAACCTAATTTCCAAACTGCTTTGTCAAATCCATGAGGACTTTCTGCGCTTGATACTCATTCTGGGGTTAAAAAAAGGCTTTTAAAATCATCTCATTAGCTATTAAGAAAAGTGAATGTAAGATCTGGAATAATTTTGCTAGAATTCAATTTAATTTTATTGTTATTTCTAATCAGACTTACATAATTAATTCTTTTTTAAAAACCTGGTTTGGGTAATTTATTGAAAACGTTTGTAAATACACAGTGCCCAATAATGTGGTTGGAGGGACTTATCTGTAAAACTACACTTCCTGTATTGTATTGTGTTTTCATGTCAAGTTATAACTACAGGAAGCAATAACCCAAATGTTCAAAGTTTTTCAACAGATAGGCCGTGTGAAACCTGTTTGGTGACATGTGGTTAAAAAAACTTCTTTATATAATGACCTACGTATTATACACATATCACAATCCATTACGGGTGTACTTTTTTCTTCTAGAGGGCAGGTGCCAGTCTTATCCAACTCTGTTGCCCAGCACCCATCAGAGTGCCTGGGGCACCTACTGGGTGTTCATGTTTGCTCCAAGGGTATTTCCATCGGACAACGGACCTCGCAAGGTAACTGCAGGAAGTGGACATGCCTTCTTTCTCTGTTCTTAAAATGAACGGGCAGAGAAGTGTTTCATACCCATTATCTCCTGGGATAGCACACCCTACTCTGCCAATTTCTAATAAACACCTACCATTCACAGCCAACCACTGAGGGAACCCCAGGAGAGAGCCCAGGCGTGGTGGTTCCGATCCCGGCACGCTCTGGGAGGCTCAGCCGGGGGGTCTGGGCTGCCCTTCGCCCCTGCCCTGTGTGCACAGAGCAGAGTCCTCCATCAGGGCGGTCACTTTGAAGGCCAACATCCAGGCACTAATGCCACCTCTGCTCATTGTTGGTTTACATACACAGCATGTAAAACATCAAAAATTCTACCTATGTTTCCATTATTAACAAATTCAAACTTTGATATGTTTAAAATGAAAAACAGTAGAACTTTTTCTACACACAGATAGTATTCTTATCTCTCAATAACTTAAAGCTGTTGAACAAGTTCAAAATAAACTTATTTGTAAAAGCTGTGTAAGTCCAAACTACAGAAACCCTCACTATTGATGGACATCTTCAGATGTTCAGGGCTAAACTCTATTGACCCAAACTTTGCATATTAAACCAGAGAATCAGAGTTTATTTTCACAGTCTCTTGGGGAAAGAAGAAAGCTTCAAAGTGCCCGTTCAATGCTGCATTGCAACTGATACAAATGTGTGTATATGTACATATATACATACACATGCTAAGTAACCTAAATACATCGAAAAGTGGCAGTTATTATTGTAGCATAGGCAATACTTGGAATAACATAGTTTTCTATTCATGTTATCTTTTCCTGTAACTAACAAATATATACCCTTAATGGCTCTCCTAAGAAGGAGGCATGCAAATCACACATTTGTAGTTTAAGATGGTAAAGTAAATACTTTTTTGGCAGGGACTAATGGAATCCTCAGGTTCTTTGCTGTTTTCAATCTTTTGTTTGTAACCCTCCAGCAGTCCCTTTCTTAAGTTAACAGCTTTTTGTAAAGGCTGTTATTTAGGTTACTAGAGCAGGTTTCCATCTTACTTGCCATCAACTGACCGCTGCTGTTGTAACTGCTGGGATCAGAACTCTCTTTGCAACATAAGATACTGTAGAGGTACCTCTGGCACTCAGAGGAAGCATAATAGTAAATCAAGGGGTCGATGCAACAGCTTATGCTGCTGACACAGACACAGAGGAGGTAGGCAAAGTAGGCGGCCTCTGTGGTGAGATTATGAGAAAGGAATGTGTAATGCAGAATCAGGAGGATGTTTGTGGGTCCAAAGCAAATGATGAAGATGCAGAAAACTGCAGCAGACAAGAACAAAGCCCGGGACTTCTTGCTCTGGTTGGCGACTGTGGAAGAGCTAAGACACTGAATGATAGACACGTAACAAACTGTGGAAATGATCAACGGCACAAAGAAGAAGAGAGCAGAGAAGGCGGAAAAGTAATGTGCATAATAGCCTTCGAGCAGGGTTTCATTGAGCACATCGTGGCAGGTGGTTATGTTGAGGCCTGGCACCTGGACGGTCTGTTCCTTGAGGAGAAGGGGCACCACCCCCGCGATGGCCATAGCCCAGATGACTAGACACGTGAAGGACGCCCTCCCTATAGTGCGCCAGGAGAGGGACTGGATGGGATACACCACAGCCAGAAACCGGTCAATGCTGATGGCTGTCATGAGCATGATGGAAGCATACATGTTACAGTAAAACGCTGCAGTGACGAAGCGACACATTTCAGACCCAAATTTCCAGTCACTTCCGGAAAAATAATAGGTGATCTTAAATGGGAGCACAGACACGAAGAGCACGTCTGCCGTGGCCAGGTGTAACATGTACACCACGGCAGGCTTCTTGATCTTCATTTTCAAGATGAACACAACGATGGCCATGATGTTTAGAGGAAGGCTGATGACACACACGCCAGTGTAGACGGAGGGGATAAAGAGAGTCAGCCAGGAGCTGGTCAGATATCTGGAGGCATCTTTCGAGATGAACACAGAGGGAGGTTTTTGAGAGCTGCTGTGATTGACGGAGATTGATCTGCCTCTAGTTAACCCGATTTCATTTTCCGCCTCATAGTAGTCCAATGGGATAGGTTCATACCCAGCATTGGAATTCCTGAGAAGAAATGACCGGGGATCCACAGAATCATTTGTTGCTTGTAACTCTGGAAAAAAAATTGTTTTTAAATACGAAATTTTAAAAAGACAATGGATTGAAGAGGCAAAAAAGACAGAGAGGGTACACTTTACTTTTGCTTTTTGTTTCCTTACTATGACAGTAGGTGGTAAAGAGCAGGTCATATACAAATTAGTTACAGACTTTATCAGAGAATTAGTCAATCAAAATACATTATGTTTTGACGCAAGCAAACACTTTGAAAACTCTGTTCCTCAGAGGGACAGAAGTTGAATGATGCACTTTTCGAGATCTGGCCTGCAGACCTCAGGATGGCTGAGTACCTGACAGGAAGGAATAAAGCAGTGATTTCTATACTATACTAGCCACCGACTTCTCTTACCTCTATATGCCTCCATGTGTACATTTTCTCCCTTTAGTTTGTAGCATCCCTTGAAACTCATCCCTCCTCAGAGAAAACTGCACGGAAAGTTGAGGAGACTTATTAAAGGCGACAGGCAAATTCAGAGTAGGACTAAGAGCGCCAACTGCCATGACCATTATCCACGCGACATTTCCCTCTACTACCTTTAGTTTGTCTACACAGTAGGATGTCCCAAATCTGTCACCATATTTGGGCCAAAACTGCAGTCCCCTGGCTTATCTTCTAATCTAACCACACGGAACCCCGGTTATCTTCCTATCTCCTTCCTCGCCGGTCAGGGGAGTAGCAGGTGGCCTGGGCTGAAGACCTTTCTCAGCTCAGTTCCGAATGCTACATGCACTGCAGCAGAGGCCAGGCCAACCAGGCTCTTTTGGCTTCTTCTCAAGTAGCCAAAATAAAGGCTCAGTTCCATTCTTCTGCCTTTTGTCACCTTCTTTCATCAAAATCATCCATGTGAAATATTCATCAAAGAAACCCAACATTTAACCATTGGAATTCAACCACTTTTCTTTCTAAGGGCCTTTGCTAAAATTCTGCCATTAAGCAGAGTCAGACAAAGAACCTTTGTTGGTCTTGGGAAGCTAAGGGGTGGGAAGGGAAACCACAGAGGAAAAGGGTGAGGTCTCTACCTCTGGGAGTGTTCGCAACAAAGACTGGACATGCAGGTCGCTTAGAGATAGTGTTAGGGAATTTAAATATTGGCTTAAAATGGGATAAATATAGTGGATTTTTAAACTTCTGGTTTTATTTCTCAGTAGTGGAAACTTCCCGCATACAGAAACTTACACAGAGAGGCATAATGCTATAAAAGAGTTTTGCTTCTACTATGGCTCTTTAAGGTCCTGCCAGACACAACTGTCCCTTAGAATAAAATTACAAAACCCTTCCTCCCCAAAATCAATCACCTGAAGGCATTTAGGTTCACAGGGTGGTGTTGGGGAGGGGAGGAATGAATCCTGAAAGAAAGGATGGTACCAGGTGAGTTTCTTGTTTTCAGTGGCTTTTAGGGTGAGAGAAGTCAAAGTCAGTGACATAAAGGATGGCTAAGACTGAGTGAGATAGTCTCACCGGCCCGAAGGACCGAAGGACAGAGCTCAAGGCAACCATGGACACTGAACAGTGAATAGAGAATCCCAGAGAAGGGCAGCCCTAAATTCCAATGTAATTTGCGCCTCAGGCTTTGGGTGACTGACTCTTGAACTGTGCATGTGTGGGGAAGATGCAAAGCAGCTCTGCTAAAGATAGGAGAACTTAGGTGCTCTTAGAGTTTTTTGTCCATGAAGAAGAGTCTGCAGTTTGAGTCCAACCAAATTAATTGTCTGCAAAAGCAAAAATGCCAACATTCTTTGGAGGAATAAAACAAAATGCAGAGCCTTTACAGTATGACAATGTCCAGCACACAATCTAAAATCATTTGGTATTAAAAAAAAAAAATCAGAAAGTGTGACCCAATCTTAAGAAAAAAAAGATAATCAATGCAAACCAATCCCAAGAGGACCCATATGTTGAAATGGGCAGATAAGGATTTTAAAGGATGCTCAATGAAGTAAAGAAAAAATATTTCATTGAAATGAATGAAAAAGTAGAAAATATCAGGAAAGAAACCAATCAATGAAAATTCTAGAAAATAAAATACAATAAATCAGCATCTATTTCCAAAACGAAGAGCAAAGCTAGAGTGATACCAGCTGAGAGACAGAAGCACAACAGGGCCTGGTAGCGCGGTGTTGAGGTCACACTACCCCAGCAAGGTCACTAGTGGGACTCTGAGGGTAAAGCGGTGGCCTGGCAGGAGACCTGTCACTGGAAAAGAACAAATGTTTCTCGTGATGAGCCTCTGAGTACACATATGTTTAGATGATACCTCAAGGGTAAAAAACCAGTCCTATTAATCTCTGAATCTCCAGCACCCATACATAGGAAGTGTTCCTTAAATTAGCTTTTAATCACAGATTTGCATTCTCATATTGGCTCTTTCAGGAGTCACTTAACCCTTCTGAACTCAGTCTCAGAAACATTAATTAAAATGATTCTAATACCTATCTGGCCTACAAATCTGAAATACGACATGCATTCACTTTGTAAATTACCAAAAAAAAATTAATAATAATAATCAATGTAAGAAATTGATACCATCTTTCCCCACTCCAATATAGCTTGCTTTTAGACTCAATTATTTGCTCACTCTCAATTATTTTAAATTAAAATGAACTCTAGGCTGCTCTCCTCTCCTATTTAGGAATATTTAGTTTTTCAGTATGATAAGGGACATGAACATGAAGTTGTAAAGTGTATCGTCCCAGAACTCAGAGCTGTAAATCAAATTTCAAATTCAGAGCCTTTTCCAGAAGTAGTACTTTCTTCTCTTTGTGATACATTTATAACTTACTCTGTGTGCATCTTGACCGAGTCACACGGAGGTCTGACACTGGTACTGACAGCCCCACTGAACGGGAGGGACTCTCAAGGTCAAAGCAAATGTGTGGGAGCTAAAATAAAAGAATAAATGGTTCTGGCATTCTAGTACCACACGGTATGTGGCCTTAAAAATGTGGACCCAGAGGAACCTGAAAATAACACAATTCTCCCCTGCAGTTTTGGGAACGTGGGCAGATTGAGGACTTTTGCCATGTGTGGAGGGTAAAAAAGAGCATGCGTGCACACACATGCAGCACATGACTCAAGATACTACCTACAACATCAAACTAAAAACAGCAAAGAAATCCATCAACAAAATGAAAAGACAATCCACTGAATGTAAGAATAGATTCATCAATGATACATCTGGTAAGCAGTTAATATCCAAAGTTTAAAAAGAACTTATAAAACTCAACACCAATAAAACAAACAATGCAATTAAAAAATGGGCAAAGGACTTGAAGAGATACTTCTCCAAAGAGAACATACAAATAGGCCAATAGACATGAAAAGTTACTCAATATCACTAATCATTAGAGAAATGCAAATTAAAACCACAATGAGATATCACTTCACACCTGTCAGAATGGCCATCATCAATAAATCAAGAAACAACAAGTGTTGGTGAGGATGAAGAAAGGGGAACCCTCCTGCAACACTGGCTGGAATGCAGATTGATACCACCACTGTAGAAAACAGTATGGAGTTACGTTAACAAAAATTAAAAATGTAACTACCAGGGCCCAGTGATTCCAATTCTGGGAATTTATCTGAAGAAACCTGAAACACTTATTTGGAAGAATATATGCACTCCTATGTTATTGCAGCATTATTTATAATAGTCAAGATTTGGAAGCAGCCCAAGTGTCTATTCAGTAGACGAGAAGATAAAAAACTGTGGTACATTTATACAATGGACTACTACTTGGCCATAAAAAGGAAGAAATACTACCCTTTGCAATGGCATGGATGGACCCGGAGAGCATTATGCTAAGTGAAATAAGCCAGTCAGAGAGAGACATGTGCTACATGATTTTACTTATATGTGAAACCTAATGAACAAAACGAACTAACAAACAAAAAAGAGACAGACTCATAGATAGAGAACAGAATGACAACTGTCAGGGTGTGGGGGGACTGGAGGAGTTGGAGGGATTGAGTGAAAAAGGAAAAAAAAGAGAGAAATCTACCTAGAGGAGTGGTAAATTTGAAAACTACTCAATACTCATAACTAAGCTTCCTAGACACTATCACTTGGTCTGAAAATAAAATTGTCATTAGGCTTTACTCTATATTTAGTACTGTAGCAGTAAGTATTTGTTTTCAAAAATTCCTTCCCTGGCTAAGCCATCTTGGGCACTATGGTGTTTATAACAAGACCATTAATACCCACTGAAACATGACATTACTGGGCTGGAGCCCAGTCAGAATGCATCATCTATTGATTAAATAGTATTGTCTAAGATGTTACTTTTTCTTGACAGTATAGGTTTGAAATTCTGAAGGCTTTTGTGGAATTAAAGAATATCTGCAAAATTTTCTGTTTAAGTATGTACCAGCATTTAAAAAAAAGAAGAAAGAACAAAACCCATTCCAGGTGACTAGATAGATCCAACTAGTTCAAGGCCAGTAGGCTGAAATTCAAGTATATCTTGCTTTTCCTTCAGTCCTAGCACAGCTTATAGGTCAAGAAGGAAGTGTCTGTTGGTGAGCCAAAAGCTCTTGTAACACATCTGTGTTCTTGTTAAGTTATGGTTTCAAATACAAAAAGGCAGCTCAGGTCCTGAAATCAAATCTCATATTTCTTGCTGAATTTCACTTACTTTAGGTTTCTCTATATGACTCAAGAGTAGTTTTGTTATTGAAGTAGTTTTGTTATTGCTAAATAGCGTTAAGATGGACTCTCTCTAATGCTGGAGATTTGAAAAAAATTAGTAGACCAGGCAACACCTTTTCTGACTTGGATGCTATCTGGCCTGGAAGCAGAATGGTGACTAGAGGCTCTTCAGGGCCCCGTGGATCTACACCAGGCCGGCCTCCCATGACACAGCAGGCTTGGTTCTGACTCAGAGCTCTGCCATGTGGCTTTTTGGGAGGTAACGAAGCAGAAGTTCCAGGACCTTACCCACACGCTTATACACAGCAGGATAGTTGTACCCTGTGCTTCTCCACAAGTGAATCAACAC